ATAGAATAATAACTTTATTGTCATTCCATTATACACTATACACCAAGTGCATAATAAAATGAAATTCCTTTGCTTACAATCATACACTAAAATACAGTTGAGATACCTAAGTTACTATAAATATACATTCTATACATTTGATATTAAACATTCAGACATCTAACAGCCTGGGGGACAAAGCTATTTCTGAATCTGGCTGTTCTACATCGGAGAAGCGGAACCTCTTCCCAGAAGGTAACAAAGAAAACAGGCCATGATGAGGATGGGAGGCGTCACTGACGATCTTTCGGGCCCTAGACAAACAGTGCACGTATGCTAGGTCTTGGATGAGAGGCAGAGAGATCCCAATTCTCTTCTCTGCTGCCCTTACTACCCTCTGCACAACTTCCTGTCTGAGGCACTACAGCCTCCATACCAGATGGAAATACAGTTAGTGAGTACGCTCTCTATAGTGCCTCTATAGAAAGTAAGGAGAATGGAGGATGAGAGATGTACTTTCCTCATCGGGCACAAAAAATGCAAATGTTGCCACACTCGTTTCACCAAAAACGCGGTGTTAAGGAACCAGGTCAGACTATTCATTAACTGTATATTAACAAATTGTATATTGTTAATTGTACATTAACCTTTAAAATCCCCTGAATTAGCATATGTATTTGAATCCAAAACTTTCTAGCTTTTTTACACGTCCGCCAGACATGATAAAATATCCCTTCTTTTTGTTCACATTTCCACCATAATTTTGAGGTACCGTTATACATTCTAGACGGTTTCTCTGGTGATATATAGCAATGCTACATCACTTTGTAACAATTCTATTTAAGAGTATAACATAATGTAAATTTCAATCCTACCACCACATTATTTATTTATTTATGTATCAAATTTATATGGCTGTTCATCTCACAAAAAGTGACTCTGGGCATCTTATAACAAGATATGAAACAATAAATATATCAAAAAAATCATTATTAAAAAGTTTAAAAAATCATAAAGCATACAGGAGATGAGATGTTAACAGCAATAATGGAGCCACCATATGCTTTATGATTTTTTAAAACCTTTCATTAATGACTGTGTTTCTGATATATTTATTGTTCTGTATCTTGTAAGCCGCCCAGAGTCACTTTTTTGTGAGATGAGCAGCCGTATAAATTTGATATATAAATAAATAAATGTCATTAGCCCGGGGAAATGGCTCTGTTGACCTAGAACTCAGCTACCTAATCTTCTACACAGAAGAGAGATCTGTTCATATTTTCTAAACAGAACTTTCAGTCCTATCCTATGATGGGTCCTATCCTACATTGGGCAGGATCCAATTCTAATTTTGGGGTGGCATCAGCCTCCTAATTCATTAAATGACATCATAGTTGGAGACTTACAGTTACAATAAATTGTCATTTGTCCCCATTGTTTATGTGAAATGGATCACACAGGATATAATTTGAGCATCATGAGGAGAAGAAAGCCTTTGTCTTCCAATAGATTGCCATACTGTAGGAAACAGATGAGTGGGAAAAAAGCATATCTTGAAATGCCACATTGGAAGTAGGCAGATTTCTATGAGGACATTGTCTGTTGTTAAGAAAACATGTAGATTCTCTCACACCAGTGATATCTCCTAACATACTTGGCAAACATGTCACATTGCTATATAAATTATTTTACATATTCTTGCCTAGGGTTACCAGATCTCTGAACAGGCAAAGGAGGACATGGGCAAGGAAAGGAGAACAAATGGGGAGGAAGGAGGACACACTGTTTAACTTCCTTGGCAACTGCAACAAAAATTACAGTGAAAAACTGCAAAAAATGTACTTAAATCTACATGTATATGAAATTCCTTTTTCCAGCCACAGAAGGACTGGTTTTCCAATTGCAGGAATGTGCTGGAGCTGGTTAGGAGGCAAAAGCCTTCAGCATGTAACTGATTATGGTCTTGTCAATTTCAGGCAGCAATCAAGCTGGGGGGGGGGGG